GTTGGCCTGGCATCCTTATTTTTTTTTTTTGCATGGCACTTCATCAATTACCTACCTTACCCATTTTTTTTTCTTTTCTTTTTGTCATAGTTGTTACCATCACGCTCCAAAAAATACCACTCACGATTAACTAAGTTCAGATCCTGTGGGCGGTTTATTGTTTATTTTCGCATCTGGTTGTCTGGTTGTTAGGCCAGCTTGAAGAATCTTTCATTCAACCTATTTGAGGATGACGATCTATGTGTCCACCGTCATCGTTGCAATTGGCGGTTAACATTTGTCAACGAGAGCAAAGAAAAGCTAGGTAACTAAAGCCATGGCGAGATGCTTAATAAATAAGGGAGGGGGCATGTGTAAAGGGGCTCAAGCTTATTAGACCCATGGGATCTCGGGTAATCTCGCTAATCGACTTTCCAATTCATTTTCTATTTTTATTTCTTTAATTTAGGACATTGTCTCTCCAATCGCCACATCCCAGAGTTGCTGCTCGTAACCGAACCAGCAGGGCTACCAATAACATGGAACTCTGAGGGTTCCACTCTTAGGTATACCTTTGAGATGCTTAGAAGAAGCTGGGTTACTAAGACGACACAGAAATTACACATATCAATACAAATGGCAACTGGTGGTTGATACATATTTACCCAAATCACGAATATCTATCACTCGGTACTTGTCTCGTAACTCATGAATCGTTGAAACTTGTCAACATTCTATAACTCGTTACTTTGCTTGGACTCGAATTCGCGATCGACAGCAACAACGTGAGAAGCAGATAATTATCCCTTCGGTTGTCCCAGTTTCCTCGTTGTTCAAAGTCAAATTATGTATGTATGTATGTGTAGTGCCATTTTGCTCTTAATCCATTCTGCGTGGTATAAGGCCAAAGGGCCTGATAGAGGGGAAACTAAGCATCCCGAACGTTCAAGTCTGTTACTTTCTTTTCGAGCAGTCTGTGAAGCAACGCAAAGCAAAAGCAAAAAATGTGCACCAACGCCATATTGATGCTTCCCAAAACAACGTCCACCCCAGGAAGCCCAGATACCAGACCGAACAAGCTGACCTACTAAGCCGAAGCAGTCCCAGTCACCCCCTCCATAGGCGTCCCGCTCCCATTGCTACTTTCGCCTCCCCCAGCCGCCTGCAACTGCTTCGCCCCATGCATTTCCTCATAAAACTCCAACGTCAAGGCCGCCAAAAAGCACGGCACCTCTCCCCTCTCCCTGACCCAAAACCGAATATTATCCGCAATCCTGTTCGCAAACTCGCTCCTCGGTCCTCCGCCCACCTTCATCGTGCCCTTCTCGCCATCGAAAACGATGCTGTTCTCGTGCTCCTCCGTCTTGGAAGGGTAATAAACACTTTCCACCCGCATCTTGCCTCCGGGGATGAACGTCACGGTCCACCCCAGGGTGCTGAACACGGCCTCTTTGAACTCGGCAGACTTGGCTGCCCATACTTGTTTTAGGCGGTCGGCGCGTTTTTGGGCCGAGGCCGTCTCGGCTTGCGCGGCGGATATTTCGCGTTTGAGCGCGGCGATTTGGGTGGCGGGGACGGTCGCGAAGAGAGTCGGTTGGCGCTCGAGGTGGGCGAGCAGCTCGGCGTTCTCGAGCTTGAGGGCTTTAAGGGTGTCGGTCTTGATCTTTTCGTATTCCGAGGTTGGGTTGTCGCGCAGCGAGAGGATGCGGGTTTTGAGTTGTTCCTTGGCGGCGGCGAGCTGGGAGGTGGTTACTTCGTGCTCCTTTTGGAGGATGCGGTGGGCGGTTTGCAGGTCGGAGAACTCGGATTGGAGCTTGCGGTTCTTGCGGGCGAGTTGGCCGAGTTGTTCGGACTCGGCGCCGTCGTGGTCATCGCGGGGCCGTTTGGTGCCGGCCAGTACGGGTTGGACGGGGCTGGTGCTGGCGGATTCGAGGGAGGTCAGGTCGGCGTGGAGGGTGTTAACCTCTTCTTTGTACTTGTCGACGAGGTCCTCAAGCTCTTGGATCCGCTTGGCTTTTTGCTCGTCGAGCTGCTCGGGTTGCATGGTGACGTCTTCCATGTCAAAGGTCTTGAGTTGGGCGCGTAGGTACTCCACCTCCTTGACGGCGAGGGCGCGTTGCCTGTCTAGACGGGCGCGGGCCTTGTCGTTAGCAGAAGGACCGCTGCTTGCCCGAAGTTTCTCAATTTGTTCGAGAAGTCTGGCCTTCTCATCCTCCAGTGACTTGATGATGTTATCACGATCGGCAATCTCAGGCTGGAGAGCACCCAACCGCTCGGTCAGCGAGGCGGAGCGGAAACGCTCCTCCACCAATGCCCTTGCTACGGCTTCCGGTGAGTCGAACTCGACGGGACCCTCTGAATTCGACTCCAAGTATGCGGTCCATGATCTCCTTTCATCCTCTAGCCTGAGACGTTGCCTTCGTTCCTCGGCCAGCTCGGTCTCCAGAGTTTGTGCTGCTTCCAACTTCCTCTGTAGAGTCCGTTTCTCTTCCTCGACTACCTCCACGGCCTTGTAAACCTGTCGCAAGTGTTTGAGCTCTGTTATTTGCTCACGGTTCTTAGACTCGAGCATCCGAATGTGATTCACTTGGTCCGAAAGCTCCCTGCGGATCACGGACACTGTCTCGGCATCGCCTGTGTGAGCTTTGAGTCGAAGAACCTCGGCATCGAGTTTGCCTATTGTGTCGTCTCGCTCTGCCAGTTGGGCATTGACTTTTTCGAGGGTATCCTTTAGTGTTCTGTTCTCCTCCTCTGTCTCTTGCGCGGTCCTCTCCAACACAGTTACCTTCGCCTTTAATTCGGTAATTTCCCGCTCCGCTAGCCGTGCTGCTTCCTCCTTAGCAGCCTTCAACTCCTCAACTTGTTCTCGAAGTAGTCTTGCCTCTTCCTGTGCTTCCCTTGTCTTCGCATTGAGTTCTCGTTTTTGGGTTTCCTTTTCGGCTCGTAGGTCGTCCAACTCGGCCTGCAGCGACTCAGCATGTCGCAGCGCCTTGGACTTTTCGGCATCGGCGGCTTGTTTTGCTTTAAAATCCTGCTCAGCTTGTCGACGGATATCACGCATTTCGTTTTCCATCTGCAATCGTCCCAACTCCTTTTCCTGTTCATAGTTGCTGATCTGGTAGTTGAGAGTGCCAACCTCGGCCTTTAGCTCTTCGATGCGCCGTCTCTGGGCTTCGTACTCTGCTGCATCTGGCGGGGCAATGTTCTCCTTGCTGCTATCCCGCGTCGGATTCGCCGAGCTGGCTGCGGTTTCATCGTTAGCGGGCGGCGGTGATGGCCCGGTCGGCGTACGACCTTGCCGCGAACTCGAACGGCTCAAGTTGGCAATCGATAGCGGAATATGGGAATCGCCGCTTGGGTTGGAGGCGAAAGACGGCTGAGCACTAATCGAAGCGCGAAAACTTCCGGGCTACGCACGCATTGGAGCCACAGTCAGGACGCCATCTTGAGTCAATAGTCTTCTTTGGTTTGCGACAGGCGGAAACGTACCCTAGATCCTCTGAGCGCTGTCTGCGGACGTGGGATGGCGCTGGCTCCAATGCTGGCGCGAAACTGTGCCTGCGGGCCTGAGGCACCGCTTATAGAACCGCGACGCAAGGGCGGCTTGCCTTGGCCGGGTTGAGGAATTGACGATGGCGGCATGGCGAGAAGAGCGCAGTCGGCGTATGAACCGGCGACATGCGAGGAAGAATTGGGAGTGTTTGGATGTTGTGTTTACTTTCAGTTCCACTTGAGAGCGCGGTCGCGGCGTCGAGATTAGCGCAGCCCCAATTGTTTGGGGGACAGTGGTGGGTTGCAGTGGCTCTGTTGGTTGGTTCAACAATTGTTTCAGTGGACCCGACAAGGAAACTGGTCTGCCAAGACTGCGAGGCTTCAACTGGAACGGACAGCCAGGGCCAGGGGAAACGGCTCGCGACGTCGGGCAGTCGGGCTGGAGAACCTGGCAGCACAAGGGGGGAGATGTCTGTAAAGAGGGCATGGACCAGCTGTGGTCAGTGTGTGAACGAGATCTTCAATGTCCGAGATCGATCACCCTCCCTCAGTTCAAATTTTGTGTATAGTGTACATGGCAGCTGGAGCTTTACGTAGAGGTACCTAGAGCCTGCTCCATAATAGTATGATGCCATAACGCTCCATGATATAACGTCACTTGAAAGACATACAACACTACTGCTCCTCGGGAGTGACAAATAAGTCGAAACCATGTCGCTGTTGTAGAAGTGCCCCTGGAGAATGAGGCTCAAGAGTGACATTTAGCTTCCATCGTATGTAGAACTGAACCCAGCGTAAGTGAGTAGTCACTTTGTCAGCCCCAAACTGGGCTCTGGTGCTTTATGAAGCTACCGCCTCTCATCTCGTCATTATTCCATCTTATGTCCATGGGATTGAAGAAACTAACACCTGCTAACCAGCCTAAAATTACCAATGGCAACACAGAATGGATACATACCATGTAGATGAACTCAAATTCGATGACCCCAGGGGAGCTCATGTGGGGTTTGAATTCCAGACAGGGACGGGAGAAAACGTCAGAAATGCAAGTCACCCCAGATGATCTGTGTGTCTGCCTAAACCGTTTACAGTTAACCCACGGCTATCACATCGCGATGCCCCACTCGATGACAGCAAAAGAGCCCACTGTTGGAGAAGGAAAAGCAACTCTGGAATTTAGCTGTGCCGACCCTGTGGAAGAGTGGAATGCCGGTAGGTACAGAAAGAAGACTTGGAAGCTGGAGCTAGCGACGGGCTTCTTTCCTTTGATCCAGCGGCCATTTCCGACCTTCATCCAATCCCACGGCATCACCACAACTCCATCCCACCACATCCCGTCCGCCTCGACTGCTCCAGCCCGACCCGACTCAGACTTCCACCACTTCCGGCTTATGGATTATACCCAGAGGTGACCATCCGCAGCTTCCGCTGCCTCAGCAATACTTTACACTCAATCCGTCCCATTCGCATTCCACCACCACTGTTCCCGTTTAGAATATACATACCTCTAGAGCTTCCCGTCTGTCGCCATGGCTAGCAGAGGGGTCCTCCCCCAAATCCTCACGGTATGTTTCCAGCTCTGGCCCCAAGTGATCCCCATGCGTTCCCATTGTCATACCCACGGACCGTCAAGAGACAGCCCATGCTAACCAAAAGCTTCTCCAGGGTCGGCTCAACCCGCGCGCCCCATCCTTGCTCGCTCGCGCCAGCCCTTTCCGCTCCCAATCTGCCTTGCCCCCAAGTTCGCTATACTACCAGAGACACACTCCCCTATTGCGGCGCAGATACGCCACGGCACGCGACAACAACGGCGCGGCCGTTCAGGCGAAGGACACCAAGGAGAATGTGGAGCACGAAGACGCCGCAAACGCCGCCGCGGATGCGGCATCCAAGGACACAAAGTCCAAGCAGGCCGTTTTAGACGAGGCTTCGAGCTCTTCTGCGTCCTCCAGCACCACAACTCTCAACGAGACGAATGATTGGGAGACGAATGTGAACTTGAACATCGACTCGTTCAAGCAACTACCCCACGCGAATTTCGGTGTCAACCAGTTCATTCCCTTCGATCCCGAGTTCAGGGAGGTCCTTAAGCAGATACCTTGGGAGTTCCGGGCCCCAATCCGCTACGCGTTCGCCTACGGCTCTGGCGTCTTCCCGCAATCCAAGTCTAGCGGCAAAGTGATTACGGACGGAGAGCTGCGCAAGATTCACCCCAAGGCGCCCGAAGGCGTCAAGAGAGCCCAGGATGGAACGCCCAAGATGATCGACTTTATTTTTGGCGTCACCCATACGCAACATTGGCATTCCCTCAACATGAAGCAGCACCGAGAGCACTACTCGGCATTGGCGAGCCTGGGCTCGGGTGCGGTCTCCTACGTTCAGGACAAGATGGGCGCTGGAGTATACTTTAACCCCTACGTCGTTGTCAATGGCATTTTGATCAAGTATGGCGTTGTACAACTGGATACGCTAGAGCGGGATCTCACCCAGTGGGATACCCTTTATCTTGCTGGACGACTGCACAAGCCTGTCAAGATTCTGCGCGACGATCCCAAGATTCGCTTGGCAAACCAGATCAACCTTCTGTCCGCTCTTCGGACAGCCCTGCTGTTGCTGCCACCCAAGTTCACCGAAGACGAGCTCTTTGCTACTATTGCTGGTATCAGCTACCTCGGCGACCCTCGCATGTCTCTTCCCACTGAGAACCCAAGCAAGGTGAAGAACATTGTCGGCAACAACATGACCAACTTCCGCCGCCTGTATCTTCCCCTGATTGAGACACTACCAAACTTGGAGTATAATGATGCCGGCGCCACCGAGAGGGATTGGATCTGGAATGACAAGAGCCTCAATCTCGTGCAGGACATGGACCCTGTCAAGCGCGGAAACATGGTTCGCCGGTTGCCCAAGGCTTTCCGATCGAAGCTCTACTTCGAGTACCAGAAGAAGTTTGCGATCCCCCAGCTCGACTTTAACAAGATGATGGAGGAAAGTCAAAACGAGGACGCCATTTCGTTCAAGCGTCGCCAGGGTGGAGGCTTCGAGCAGCGCATTGCCAGCGACGACCCTGCGGAGCTTCGCAAACAGGTCCGGAGCGTCATCAAGAAGACCATCAACTGGCCAGCCACCACACAGTCTCTCAAGGGCCCTCTTACCAGCGGTTTCAAGCGCACGATACGTTACCTCTCGGAAAAGATGGATAAGTACCGTCAAGGACGTGACGCCGAAAAGGCCAAGACCGCGACTGCTGAGGATAAGCCCAGCGAAAGGTCGGGGGTCGACAGCAAGGCAGAGAAGAAGTAGAGCCTCTTCATGACCAAGGGCACTGACTTGTTTGTGGTTTCTGCCATGTATCTGACTTCATTGGCTGTATCAATATTGTACGTTTCTGGGGAGGGTGAGTTGGGCATTCTGTTGTGGCCAGGTTACTAAACTACTACGATGATGGAAGGGGGGGTTTGGGAGCAGCGCGTTCTGTTTTTCGGTGTAAAACATTACATTATCACGGCATGGCGGTATCATGTCGCATTGGCGGGCCCAAAGTTCCGAAGGGGGGTAAGAAGATCAAGCAGGCTAGGCGTTCATGTGGTTTTGGCTTGTCCTTGTCTCCAAGAGACTGTAGAGCAAAATGAACACGGGTGGGTTGGTTCAAATAGGTTTGATGGGCAGCGTAGATTCATGCCCATTGCATCATCAGCAAGTAGAATAGAGTTTTGTACTTTTTTTAGGTTTAACCATGAGGAGCCAGAGTCATGCTTTCAAACGATTTTGGCTAGGTAGACAAAGATTGGTTGATTCCTACCCTCTTTACAAGCGTAATGATGAAGAAGGATACTCGGATACGAGATACACTATTTTACAAGCGTAAGATGGTGGGGAGAATACTTGGAGCACGAAATATCTGACACATCTCGGCTCGACAACACTCACGACACCGAGTTCGTTGACTTGAGAAGATATGTTCGCCCGTTGCTTGCACTCACGACCTTTGAATGCTGCCAAGACCGAGCTTCCATTGAGGGGCAGCGGCAATGTTTACGCGGGGTACCTTCCCCTGAACGCCTGTCTTGGCGCGCAATTGAGTCGGCAAGCACATATGTAGTAAGTGAAACCCCCAACTAGGTAATATTTCACTTGCGATGTTGGCCTTGGCCCATTGTCTCACCTACTACTATGTATATTTATTATCAGGCTGGTTCGTGTTCGTCACCCAAAACCAAGACACCAAGAAAACCACCCATGCTAAGCCAAGTCCGAAGATAGGCGCAAGCAAACGGTCTCCTCCTGCAGTGACAAGACCTCCGACCAGGTCTCTCCAGACTTGCTATCGAAAATACCACACTTCACGACTTCGGTGAGGACCTATCTTGGGTTGACATGCCCGAGATGGAGATGACGGATAATGGACGGATGGGTGACGTTCTTGTACTGTAACGTATGTGCTCACCGCTGGGCGCATTGTCTAAGCATCACCTGCTCGCTATCTTGCTGTCTTGACTGTTGTCAGCTTCCAAACTCGAGAGATACAAATGCAAGGCGTTCGTTGCGTGGGAGGGTCGGATATGTAAGGCACGCTTTGAGAGGCACAACACGTTGTCGAAATTGATATCCCACGCTGTTCCTGCGTGGCTGCCTGATATGTATTTGTGCAGATCCAACATTGACGGCTTTTTTGGTTCGGTTGTTCATTCGATTGTCCGATAATGATGTCGTTGTTGGAACTGAAAGCCTTTGAGCAGGTTTTGGTACGCATAGGAAAAGCAACAGACCAGTCCGGATCGAAATGAGGAATCCCAGCTCCACCTCGCAAAGAGGGGGAAATTCGAATCCCAGTCAGTCCCAACAAAGAATGCCGAGAAACGGTGCCTATCCCAATGATCCAAACAGGCCGGCATGAGTGTCCAGAACCTGCCGTTCTGGATTTAGCAGAGCACGACATTCGGCAATTGGGCTCGATGGGCGCCATGCTAAAAGAGGCAGCTCCCGCGATATCACGCTTGGCTTTTCTTGGCTAGCCCAGCCTAGAGCCCGCCAAGGCCAGGAAACTGGGGAAGACTAGTGGGAGCGCTACATTAACTGCCACTTCGGGAACATCGTCTCATCGAACCTCGTATTGTCGATTTCAAGGCTTCGTTGACGTGATGGTTGGAAATGTAGCCTAGGTAAAGGAGAAGGTGGTGATTGTGAGTTGACATGGGGAATGGAATGCGCTGCCGTGTGAACTGAGTCGCGCTGCAGAGCAACAACAGGCAGGGGTTGACAAGATGGGAGCTCAAAAGCCCTATCTTGACGGTGATTCCCACGTTCCTGTCTTACATCTCTAGCTCTCCTTCGCTCTGCCTGTTCAACCCTCTCTCGGCTCAAAAACAGCATAGGTGTTGAATCTGCCAAGATGAGAACTGTCGCTGCCTCCCTCGCAACCCTCGCCCTGGCGGTTCCCGCACTGGCTGCTACCATCCAAGGTGCTCCTACCAGGAAGCCCTATGTCTGCTCCGACGCCCTGCAGTACCAAATCACCGAGAAGGACATCCGCGCCGGTGCTCAGAAGCTTCAGGACATTGCCGATGCCAACAACGGCACTCGTGTCTTTGGCAGCACCGGTCACAACGCCACCGTCGACTTCCTCTACAACACCCTCAAGGACACCGGTTACTATGACGTCTACAAGCAGCCATTTGTCGAGACTTACTCGGCTGGTACCGGTTCCTTGAGTGTCAACGGCAAGGCCCTCGATGTCCGGATCATGACCTATACCCCTGCTGGATCTGCCACTGGGCCTATCGTCTATGCCGAGGGCCTTGGCTGCTCGGCCGCCGAGTACCCTGCTGAGGCTTCCGGTAACATCGTTCTCGTCTCCCGGGGTAACTGCACTTTCGGCCAGAAGGCCCTGAGCGCCAAGGAGGCTGGCGCCGTCGGCCTGGTCATCTACAACAACGTTGCTGGCTCTCTTTCGGGCACCCTCGGCGAGGCCTTCAAGGACTATGCGCCCGTTGTTGGTCTCAGCAAGGAGGATGGCGAGGCTCTCATTGCCTCCATCAAGCGTGGTGAGGAGATCAAGGCCGAGTTCAAGGTGGATGCTGTCACCGAGCACCGTGTCAGCTTCAACGTGATTGCCGAGACCAAGGGCGGTGACCACAATAACGTCCTCGTTGTTGGTGGCCATTCTGACTCCGTTGCCGCGGGCCCCGGTATCAACGATGACGGTTCCGGTATCATTGGTATCTTGACCGTCGCGAAGGCCCTCGCCAAATTCCAGGTCAAGAACGCCGTCCGCTTTGGCTTCTGGTCTGCTGAGGAGTTTGGCCTGCTCGGCTCCGAATACTATGTCAAGTCTCTCAACGGTTCCAAGACTGAGCTCGCCAAGATCCGTGCTTACCTCAACTTCGATATGGTATGTTTCCCTTTTTGAGATGTCAGCCAATAATGCCATGATGTTGATATTTCGAAAACAGATTGCCAGCCCCAACTACATCTACGGCATCTATGACGGCGACGGCAGCGCCTTCAACCTTACCGGTCCCCAGGGCTCCGACGTCATCGAGAAGGACTTTGAGCAGTTCTTCTCCAAGAACAAGGTCGCCTCTGTTCCCTCCGAGTTCAACGGTCGCTCCGACTATGCCGCCTTCATCGAGAACGGCATTCCCTCGGGTGGCATCTTCACCGGTGCCGAGGGCATCAAGACCGAGGCGGAAGCTGCGGCCGTCGGTGGCACAGCGGGCATCGCGTACGATGTCAACTACCACCAGGCCGGCGACACCATTGACAACATTGCCTGGGATGCCTTCCTTCTCAACACCAAGGCCATTGCCAACAGCGTGGCCAAGTACGCCCGCTCGTTCAAGTCGCTTCCCGCCATCAACCTTATGCAGCGCCGCTGGGATGGTGATGTTGCCCAGACCCTTAAGCGCAACAAGAAGCGCGCAAACGGGGCCCATGTCCACTCCCATTCTGGACCTTGCGGCGGTGGGGAGGAAATCTAGATACCCTCGTGGCCGAGGTTTCGGTGTGGGGTTGTTGACGATAATGGTCATGACGATGATAACGATGTGCATGTTGGAATGTATAACGACACATGATGAGATATGATATCCTTGATGGACATGGCTTGATACAGTGAAATAATCAAAAAGGTCAAAGACAGAAGGGGCATGATTGTACCGAGTGCTGTGATGTCGGCAGAATTTGAAAGGTGGACAGTTCAAAGTATGTAAGTATGGCGCCGCACATCAGCAGCCGATAGGCAAGTAAGGTCAAGCTGTGCCGCACCCGTGTCAGGGCACTGGACCCGGCAAGCACTTGAAGTGGGGTAGACTGTTTACCTAGAGGTATTTGTCCATATGGCGATCTCCTGCTAAGAGGTACCTACCTAATGAAACCTCTATCGTCGGAAGTCGGGGAATTGGCAAAAAGCTGAACACCTAAAAAGCCTAGAAATCAGACAGGGTGCTGGCAAATCTAGCGCTCGAGTCCGAGCCTATGCTTTGAAAGACAAATAAGATATTGCTGGCTCTATCAGGCACTCACTACCAGGCTTTCAATAACTGGTGTGAAGACCGTGTTTCTTTATCGTTAGGGTTGCAAACTTGCATTCAAAAAGGCCCTTCTTGCCTCCCAACTCCCACCATCCCAAGATGAAGCATACCGACACAAAATAGTTTTCACACACCTGCTGATGGATCATTGCTGGCCGTGCTCCAAATGCCGTAGTTCTCCCCGTCCTGGCCAGGCGTTCCATCTCCTCTGCTCTTCTTCCCGGCAAGCATTCATTTAAGCCAATCCCCATCCTTTGCCCTTACGTACCTTAGTTTCTTAATTTGCGTTGTTGCGTGCCCGTCTTCGGCTCCCTCTTGCCCCATCGTCCAGTTTTTGTTACTTCCAGTTGTATTCGAACCTCAGCTCACCAAAATGAAACTCATCAATTTGTCAACCTCGGTACCTTCCGTTGATGTGAGGAAATTTCTCGTCTTCTGAAAGGATATCATTCCGGGTAAGGTGATCACCACTGTTCCGGTGACCTGAAAAAAAAAAATGACCTGCCAAGGCCATCCGGATTCGAATGATCACACCCTTCCTGTCAATGAGCGTAACTTTGGGTTTTCATCACTACTTGCATCAGTCAGGCAGAAAGGGATGGGCGCCGATGATCCGGGACGCTCGCCGGATCTTAAACACCGACGATCAGCTCGCCTTACCTCTTGTATGATCTACGACCACTACGGCGGACATTAACGGGGGTTTTTTTTTTCCAGGTGGCAAAGTCATATGTCCTTTCACCATCCTTCAATCATCATCACAGCCTCCTCTCCCGTCGAAGAGTAGGCCTGACGGAGCCAGACACTGGCGATACTGCAGGGAATAAGTGAAACGATAACTGTCCGACGCCTTGTTCATGAGTTTGGATCTTACCTACACTCGAAAGCGCTTAGAATCGGGAGACGGTTGCCCAAACTCAATGGGTTGTCTCGACTTCATCGCATGCAAGAGCTTGCAGTTGAAGACAAGCCACAAGATGAGAACGCGTGGCTAGAATTGGAAAACAAGGTCGTATCCCTCCTCCTTTTCCTTTGCAAAGAAACCGGTGCATGTGCCCCTGGCAATCTCAACCTGCAAATGATCCAGCCAATGAACATGGTATCCTGAACCTCCGCGATTCTGAACTGCGTTCGAGACCCAAGGCCTTGTGGGAGAATGATGGGGTGAAAACCCAAACATCGGGACGTCATCAAAAGTCGTAGGTTGTGAAGCCGGCTGGCTGGGATGACCGACAGGGGGCATGATGGATGTGCTTCACCCCTGGAAAGGTTCGTTAGCTTGGTACAGATACAGGAGCTTAGACCAAGGGGGAAGACAAAATGTCCGGTAAATGCCCTGTAAATTTACCGATGATAGAAGGTGCTCTGGGGTTTTCTGATCTCTTCTGTCAGCTCTTTCTCACCTTGAAATCACCTAGCTTCAGCCAATCATATCGCGTAGATAGACGTGTCCTGCCTTGCGACCCCCCCTGTCACCCTCCTGTAAGACAATGTGGAGCGGATAACAGACTAACAAACTTCCAAGGCTCAATGTATGAGATCGAGTTACTGCTCAAGCCTCCGCGATTTCTCAAGTGCATTCTAGACCCAAGGCCTTGGTCAAGACCCCTGGGCAATGATTTACAATTTGGGCAGACGCTTGATAGATCCCAGTTGATGCACCAGCTTGACGTCAGTATCATTGAACAGACGCAAACACTGGATGAAAAGTCTCAGACACAGCGGCCTCGACTCATCACCAACGGCCCTGGAAACCCATCGCAATGGCTAAGATGGGAGAATCTTCAAGACAAAACATGTCAAAGTGGGAGACAGCGCCCAGTATACAACGTTACACGCAGGCCGTCGTGCCCAGTGTAGGCAGGCACTTGCCTTTTCTGCTCGACAACATCCCCCAACCGAGACCCGTGGGCAGCATACTCGGCGGTATTACTCCTCATCACGGGTTACTTACCTGGCAGCATGCGATCCCTCTGACATCGATACTACCCAAGTTATGCACTCCAGGTCACTAAGAATGATAGCTCCGCGTGAAGAGGGCGCTAAAATCAGCAGGACTGGGGCAATGTCCTTGTGCTCAATATCTCCCCTGTCTATGCAGTGCCACAGGCTGGTCAACTAACGCAGGAACAACGAACGACAGCAGACGCCAATCCGGGGTCTGATCATACGGTACTGTAACGGTAGTAGCATTGTTCCTGGGACCTTTCATCTAACGACATCGTCCGAGTGGCCCAATAGAGACAGCGGGATGCTATCAACTTCTGCCTGGACCTAAGATGTCTACAACTCCAAAACACCTCAGTCAAACTCCTAAATCCCAGATTTCTAAAGCTTTTACACGATAACTGACTGCTATTGGAGGTTGAGCCTCAGTAATTAGGGTGGCTACATGGTGACGAGAACTTGGGATGCCAGTGATCTAGGTATATTCACACAGCTCTCGAACGGCAGGATACATCTAGATCCTTATTTCGTCAAAGGGGATCTCTTGCTCCTTCCGGCAGCAGATCCGGGACCTATCCGCCATGTCGATACACCCAGCCTTCCACCTACACCGGTCGGTGCCGGAATACTCCTCCGGACCTTCGGACCAAGCACCAAGAAGGGCTTGGAAACCATTCAAGTGATACGTCCTTGATGGCACACCTCTCATACTCAGCAGTTCGCGATATGGCCGGCTGATCCTACCCTGAGAACGATGCTGCCGCACTGCGGTCATTTTCCTCCAGACCATTCCTTTGGAGGGTGTTCGAGATGATTATTTAACTACAACATAATTTCCCCTTCTTGAGGCCTTACCCTTACCTTCAACAGAGCAAGAGCTTCCCGACACTCGTTCAACATTGTCTATACATTCTTTGCCAGCTTCTTGTCCTACCAACATATACTGCCCTCGTTTCACTTCACTACATTCCTTTCCACCAACACAGTCCAGTTACAATGCGTTTCGATCCATCCATCCTCCTCCTTCCTTTCCTTCCCTCACTAGTCTCAGCCTGGCACCCTCCCACTCTCCAGGGTTACAACCTAGTCTGGTACGACGAATTCGAAGGCAGTCCGCAAACCTTGCCCAGTGCGAGCCGATGGAACATCATCAACGGCAAGCTCAACGTCAATAACGAGCTCGAGACGTACACCTCCTCCACCAAGACCATCCATGTCAGTGGCGGCCACACCCTGCAGATCATCCCCTGGCGCCAACAGAACGGCAACGGCGACTGGATCTCCGGCCGCATCGAGTCCACTTATACCTTCACACCCCCAGCCGGCAAAAAGACCGTCGCCCAGGCCGAAATACGCTTCGGCAGCAACCCGACCAACACCAAGGCGGGAATCTGGCCGGCCTTTTGGCTGCTGGGCCAAGAACTCCGCTCAGGCGGCAGCTGGCCCGCCTGTGGTGAGCTTGATATCCTGGAGACCGTCAACGGTGATCTGAGAGGGTACGGAACCCTCCACTGCGGAACGTATCCCGGCGGTCCATGCAATGAACCCAGCGGCAGGGGGGCCAGTACCGCCATTCCGAACCAGGACTGGCATACGTGGAAGATTGAGTGGGATCGCACGTCGGGAGACTGGTGGACGTCCAAAATTACGTGGTACATGGACGGGGTCAAGTTCCATGAAGTGTCGGGACAATCGCTGGGTGACTCGGCGATATTTGACAAGATTAGCAACAAGCCGTTGTTCTTTATCTTGAACGTGGCTGTTGGTGGGAATTGGGTGAGTTGTCCTGGTTCTTCATTATTGAAATTGCGAAATAAACGCTAACGTCTTGATAATTTACAGCCCGGTTATCCGAACGCCAACACTCTGGATGGGCCTGGGTCGATGATGGAGGTCGGTTATGTCGCTCATTATGTCTCTAACTGAGTTGCATTAGTGACGCGGTACGAATGTGGAGGATTCTTATACTTCCTTTATCAGTTCTTGTGGGCTGCTAACCATATTTGTTCTTTTTATGCGAATGTCTCTCTCTTTGGGCGAGCTCGCTTGTTGCGCTGCTCAGGAACCCGTCTACTCCTTCGGATTCGGCACTACTTCTCATTCGCTGAACAACATCTTCATTTTATTCTCTTGGACATATTATCATTATTCTTTTCAACATTCATGTACATAAGCTACATATTTACTTTAGTATCATATTTCTAAAGGTGATGACCCCCTCACTTTCATCACATCATTCATTCAACTTTCTCTGAACATACTGCATTCGCTGTGAAACAAAATATAGAAGATAAATCGCATTTCCTACGGTTGCCGCATGCGGCTGTTCCTTGCTTACATGCAGGAACGGTTGCGCCTGGTTCATTGTTTACTTCCCCTGAATCGCCGCCACCCTCGCTAGGCCCACATCTTATGTGACCCCGACGGAAAAAAAAATTCCAAAAGAAGATGCGGTTTGTGTGGATCGAACACACGACCTTCAGATTATTGAATGAAGTGGACTTCAGTCTGACGCTCTCCCAACTGAGCTAAACCCGCTTGAATATTAAAGTAGTGTTACCAATAGTGTAAAAGACGTCCGGATAGTTGCATGCGCGCACGTCCTGCTGCGCAGTGTGCCACTGCACTATACCTACCTCTACATTCTCTACCGAGGACACTCGTGAAACTTGCAAATCCCGCAACACAAACCTACTCCTTATTATGCTTAATGGCGCCGGCTGTCAGGTCCGAGCTACATATCTCAAAACGTCACGTACGTATACGCCTGTGTAAATTGTTGATAGTGCGTTCATTGACAGAGCCGGCACGTGGATACGTGCGTGTGGAGATGCACAGAAGCTGTACCTACCTAATGGACCTTGAATGTACGACGCCGTGCAATGCACATATTTTACTAAATCTTCTGGAAATTAATGCCCGCAAGAGTGAATGGCCAGCTGCTGCACATACTGCAAAGAATGTAGGAAAATACAGGCAATCGTTCTTTCCCCCTTCGATCGCTGGGCAGAGGGCAGGTCTTTATACGGTAACTGAAGCTCAAGCCTCCATGTACATTCGTTGAAACGCACGCAAGTTAGAGTGGTGGGCAACTTCCTCAAGTATTCACTAATTGGACAGACATATCCGTCTGCTGGCACAAACCGGCTTACGGAGCATTATTTAGGTACTTAGCATATGCCCTGCCCGGCAGTCAAAGAGAGAGGGGAAAGAAAAACAAAACGGACGCCTATGTTTCCCCGAGTTTCTACGGTATCCATGTATCATCTCTACCGGAACATGCAGCATTTCAACATCTGAAAAATGTCACTCGAAGAAAAGAACAAATGAAGCCTTGCCGCGACAGTTGATAGGTGTTGTTTACTATCAAAAAGCAACATCATCGCTTGCTGCTTCTTGGGAAGCAATGCGCTTCATGCCGCTTGTCACTTGATGATGATGTTGAGCGACAAATAGACAAAAAAAGAAAATCCTGAAGACTGGACGGGATGACCATGGTCCTGTTGTGCCCTTCGGGTCCCCCACCATCCTTCCTCCTCCCCATATGTGTGTCTCCTCCGCTCGAGCGTCCTCTTCCGAGCTATAACGTCGTGTCAGAACTAGATCAGGTCGGGAGTGTGAAAGATAGAGTCGCCGTAAAGAGTTCAAACGTACCCTATCTAAATGTGACTAGTCACGGGCAATTTCACCAGACTTCTCAAGATCGCTTCCCGGACCTGGAGATACCCCCCCCAAAAACAGGTTGGTCAGCAGGGTTGAGAACAATGAGCTTGACGCAAGCGACTTCTTAGTGGTATTTTGATAAAAGGGGTACAACTCAACTTGTTTGCGAGGCTGCATTAGTCGGGTAGGCAGGCGCTTGAGATCCGTCTGTGGAGGGTCTCGGCGGGGACGGATTATTCAACACCGCCATCACCTCCCTGGTAATGTTACGACCAAAGCTCGTGTGAGGCTCGTAGCCGTAGGCGGCGGCGCCAGGTGCCGGATAGGGCGCATAGCCTGGTATTTGGTAGGAGGCATTGAAGGCCTGGCCATGAGGGCTTTGGTAGGGCACTTGAGGTCCAGTGCCCTGGTAGGGCTCCTGAAGCCACCCTGGATAGGGGTAGGGACCCAGATAAGGAGGATAATTCTGCTTCACCGGGGTATAAACAGGGTCGGCGAAAGTGGATTTTCCGGAACTGGGAGGAGTGGGCTCCTGGACCTTGGGGACGAACTCTGGAGCCAGAGGGTTCAAGGTCTTGGAAAGCCGGTCACCGTTTTTCTTCTTAGGAGGGTTGGTGCCATTGCAGATAACGACGCTGTTAGTGGCGGACATTGTAGCGAGGTCAAAGATGTGGTTGTGGTAGAAAAAGAAAGATGGTGTTGCGAAGATCGACCCGAGGTGGGAAGAATAATGAGGAGAAGGAGGAGAACAAGTGGACGGAACGGAATCGATCTACTGAGATATTTATAGTCTTGTTTGAACCATAGAACAGAAGCCCGTGATGCGCATTTGGGCGGTTGTGCTTGAAGTACATGCAGCAATGCATGTGAGGCTCAGAACAATGTCGCGCACAAATAATCTATGCAGTTCATACCGCGGCCCTCCGACGATAGAAGTCATGGAGAACTAAAATCAAGACCAGAACAAAAGACTCCTTACCTCTAAATATTATACTGTCCGAAGACTGCATAGGAACCAGCGGGAAAAGATGCTTTCCAAAACAATGTCATAGCACATTTACTGTAGGCGGCAGTTGCCCAGAAGGAGGTGATATCCAATGCTGCAACGTATCGTCTGCGGCACCGGTACAAACGACATACATATTTCTAATTCTTTTGGTCATGGTTTTACGCTTAGCATGTGGAAGCCAAGCACTGAAGATGGAAAAGGCTTGTTGTTGTTGTTGCATCTGTTTGCCACTTGTCCTTCTCACAGCATCACCTTGTTCTCAAGCTACTCAACGACTTGCTAGGTAGACACTCAGTTGCTGCCTGATTCTTCACCTTGATTCAAGAGCACAATCACTGATACAAGTAAGAAGACTGATACTCAAAGCGGCTGACCAGGCAGGCAAGAAAACAACGAGCAAAGCTCTACAACATTAGCAACCGATGACAACTGACTTGTTTATCGAGAATTGCACAACTTTTGTTCGTTTCCAAATCCAGATGATTGTATACTGCTGCCCAGTATCCAGTACATACATAGGTTGTGGCCGCTTTCCCAAGAAGGGTCAGGCAGATTTACTGCATTCGCGATGGCAAGGCGGGCGCTACGTCTGATCATTGTACCGGGAAGGCCTTTGATTTTATGTGTTCGGATGCTGGTGGTGTACGTTTCTCCTGTTCGTTTTGGTTTGGCTCTGTTGATTAGAGGGAAGTTTGAAGCCGAGAGAAGAAGCTAAGGGTAGAGCTGACATTCGACAATGGCGAGCAGGTCCCTACCAAATCTGGCCGCGAGATTGCTGAGTGGCCGTGGGTCATGGATAACCGGAGTACACTCAACCTCAAGTACGTTATTTGGGGTCAGAAGATCTGGAACCCGTCCCAGAACCATTGGTAAGTGATGTCTCGGCTTGATTAAGGATTGAAAAAATTTGTGCTGATGAGTTTTCTTCAGGGACCACGTTCATGTGAGCTTCAACTAGGTGATGTATCTAGGTGCTGTAACCTGAGGAAGCGTTTCACAGCATGTATTCGTCCCTTAGGTGCAATTTGTAGGCTATCCCAATATCAGCAATGATCTTGAAGCCACCCAGGCATCCACAAATTAACAATGTTCAGTGCCTTGAACTGTTACATCATTCAACATTACGTACCATAGTAAACATCTCGTCTAGGAAAATGGGAAAACTCCGGCTTTACAAAACCAACTCCATCTGATCATGCCCGATTAGGCCCGTCACTCTGCAACCACCACTCCGGTATTCCTTACCGCGCTCTTCAAAGCAGTCGCCAGGTCAATGTGAAAGAACGGCCTGTTAATCCCAAACACCGGCACCAACCTCTTCCCTCCAGCGTCCCTTGCCAACGCACCAGCATCAGCACTGGTCGCAGTCGGCACTGTCGAGATATCCTCCCCATTAGCATTACCCTTCTCCACATCACCATTTGTAGCACCACCCTCACCCTCAGGCCTCTTTTCGTCCGTACTGCCCGAACCACTTGTGCCGACCGGCACCGCCTCAATATCGCTAGCCGAAACACTAGGCCCAATTGCAACCAACGGGCCCTGGTCCACCTCCTGAACATCGCCCTTGTAGTTTCCCCTCTGCACCTTCGCCGTTCGCGACGAGTCCACACCGAACCCAGACGCTACGAGGGCGCGCTTGGTCCATCGGTTAGACACGCCGGCGAAATGCCACTCGACTTTATCCGGGTGTGCGTAGCGGTCGAACTGGTTACGCAGGTCTTGCAGCGCTTGGGCGGCGGTCACGTCGATGCAGTTGACGGCGGAGAAGTCGAGGATGATGGCGCGCAGGGTCGGGCGCGCAACGAGCTCGTCGGTTAGGAAGGCCTGGCCGCGGCGCGGGCCAGGATCATTCCATGGTCGGTCCTGTTGAATAATCTTCTGTCAATCCTGGTCCCTCTCGAGAGGAGGGGATAGGGAAAAGGGGGAAGAGGAGAGGGGGTGATCACGTACACCGAGCTTCTCGAACTTGTTCAACTCCGTCCGGCGAGTGTGCTTGAAGACGTGGATGGTCAAGTTGTCGAGGTGTTTCGCCGAGTTGACATAGTTCAGACCCTCGCCGAAGCGGTACACGAAGATACCGGGCCAGGGAGTCGAGATCTGCAGCTCGGGGTTGGAGAGGTCGTCCCTGTCAAGAGACAAGAAGGCGGTGTGGTGCTCCGACTTCTGCAGCAGGCTTTGCGTGAGCCCGGAGTCCTTGCTGCCGCGCACCAACTCGCGGGGTGCCGTGTAGATCTCGGTCTGGCCGAGGAACTTGCCGGGGCTCTTGGCGATGCGCCATAGTAGAACGGCACCGGAGGCAGCGACGGTCACGTAGATACCGTTCTCGATCGAGGTGAAGATGGAAACGAACACTCCGGCGAAGAAGATGACCACCTCGAGCGGCGAGGTCAGCCAGAACTTGTACACCTCCCTCGGAGGAGTGATCAGGTCGCCGACGGCGTGGATAATCATGGCGGCGAGAGCGCTGTTGGGGATGTAGAAGAAGACGGAGGTGAGCGCATAGAGGGCGAGCAGGACAAGAACAGCGGTAAAGATGCCAGCGAGAGGCGTGCGGACACCGGCTTTGGCCTTGATGGCCGTTCTCGAGAATGATCCGGTAGCGGGGTAACCGCCGAGGAAAGGACCGAGGAGGTTGGTGAAGCCGATGGCGACGAGTTCTTGGGATGGGTTGATGATGTAGTTGTTGACACGACCAAACGACTTTGAGATGGCGATGTGTTCAATGAGCAGAACGAGAATGGTGGTCGGAATGTCGCCACTGATGGCAGAGAGAATTTCGTTATCGAGACGGGGAGCTCCCTTGTGTTGAAATCCTGTCGTTACCCGGTTCGTAAGTTACGGTTACAGAAGGGGGGTGTCGAGTTGGAAAAGGGGGTGCAAACTTACCACTTGGAACATGCCCAAGGATCTTGAAATGTGCCTTTTTCGGATCCTTGACGTGCCGGTTGACAAGCCAGCTGACCAGAATGTAGAGAATGATGATAAAGACCATGCGAAGCGTGGAGACGAAGAACCAAGCCCTCTGCTGACGGGGGTACCTCTTCCCCATTTGGGTACAAAACCAACGGATAAAGTACAGCCCAAATAGCGCGGTCAAGCCCATGGCGGCATCCAGATGTGTATTGGGAAGCCCCTTTAGCGTGTTGATGATGACCTTGTAGGTCTCCTCGCGGGAGTTGATGTTGGGAATGCCCATGAGGGTGGATACCTGTCCCGCGGCAATCGATATTGCTGACCCAGTCATGAAAGCCGAGATGGCCACAATGGGGATGAATTCGACGATGAATCCGAATCTAATGAGACCAAGGAAGAGAAGCACCGCGCCACAAATAAATGCCAGTGTTCGTGCGATATCGCCGGCGTCAAAGTCGGGATGATCCTTTTGGACGTTCGCGATGATGTTTCCAACAATGGTGGACCTGTGGTGGTGTTATATTAGCAAGACTTTGATGATAGTCGTACTATGGGAGCCATACATTACAGCGACTGCACCTATCGTGATGTCCTTAGACGTAGCAAAAGCCCAGCTGTGTAACTCACGGTTAGCTCTCATCTTTATAGGGTTCCTGACACCTACCTCGAGGAAAAACTCACTATAACAGGAAACCGACGAAAGAAGTGTAAAGACCATATTCAGGGGCGAGATTGGCGAGTTTTGCATAAGCCATGCCTTGCTGTTACTCTCGTATTTCATCAGCGTCTCTTCAAAAGTCGAGTGTCCTAGGACATCATAGAATCGTTGTACTGACCGGTACCACGACGAAGCCAACCGTGACTCCCGCAATAAAGTCACCCAACAGCCATGTCAAGTTGTAGTGGAAGATCCAGTTAACAAACGGAAACAATTCCCTGAGGTAGTTGAGTGTGCCCTGAACTGTCGGACGGATCTCGTTGAGGAAGTCTTGGGTGGTTGGTTCCGACTCTACAAAGGAGCCATCGTCGTAGTATGCTGTGTCGTCGAGTCTTTCGTCGGCAGGAATTCCGAGGAACTTCTTGATGCGGTCTCCCGCTGTGCTTGTTGAAGCCATCTGAGTGTCAATGGAGTGTCACGGACTCTCCAATTGTTCGGGTAGGACAATCGAAGTAAAATGTAGCAGAGCCAGGACTGTGAGAGTAAAGTGCCGAGACCCTGCAAACAAGAAGGACCGGTTATATATGAGCAATGTTGCGGTAGCTTCCGGTACCGTCCCGAATTGGTGACAATGAATGGCATCAGCGAACATGGGGTGTCTCCTAGTTTCTGGACCAGGCTGCATAGTCGTGGGGAGGCAACGAGCGTGTTGTCTCCTTTTTTCTTTTCTTTTTTTACTCTTACGTTCCCAATCGTCTGCTAACTGGAACTATAGCCCAATCCTAGATCCTACCATTCGGTAGATGTAGCACATACGCAGTGAGATTCGGATGCTACAGCATCGAGGTATGTATCCCTGCCATGTGGTACCAGTCGTTCAGTTCCTACACATGGTTTTTGGACCCTTGATTATTGGTGCCATCCCGGAATGCAAATCCATACCTCCCCATCCCATTCATTTCCCTCTTGCATGCAGTTGCAGAGCCCGCAGCCGGAAACCCCACCACGCCGCGTACTGACATGCGGTACAGAGACCTAAATCGGAAGTTCGCCCTGTCCGTGGCATAGTATACAAATGGATGTGTTGAGGGAAAGGGGAAAAACTTGTCCGGGTTCAGGGACCTCTGCTTGGCCCAGTCCTGGGCAACAATGGCCAAGAGGCTACAAGTCGGCGCCATTCGCACGCCGAGTTGACGAGATCTCGCATCATCAAGCCAAGGCTTCATTCCGCTGGCAAGAAGGCTGGAACTTGATAGTTCGAGGACCCAACGTACTCGACGGGGGACCCCTTTCCTCGGTTTCCAGAAACATGTACCGACAACGTACCGAGAATTCAGCCGCAACATGTCATTCTCCTCCATTTGGGTATCACTGGTAAAGAGTGTCTTGCCTGCATGGCTTTTGGAGTCGAACGTCATCCCCAAGCGAAAATGCATGTCTGTGCCGCCGCCGTGCGCTGTGTCTGATCCTTGTCGTTCTTCGCTATGTCTCTCTTTTGTATGCACATCGAGGTAGGTATTTCATTCTTTGTGGTTGCGTTGCAGGGTATCTCGCTCGCGGTTGCTGGTCTTTGTTCTTGGGGGTCGTTGGGAGTTGTCGTTCCCAGACGGGAGTTTCCCCTCACCCGCCGCAGCAAGCTGTATCTTGGCTGCACTGTGAGTGGAAGGCTGCTACAGTCCAGAAGCCTCAGCGTCAGAAGGAGGCTAGCGGGCTTGGCCTCGGCCTATAAGAGGGTCCAGCCCGCCCACCTTTAACATGACGACATCCCAGGGGTTTCATGGCGCAATGCTCTCAACACTCTGCCACCAAATCACACCCGCAGCATTTTTGGCACGCCGAGTTCCCCATTGTCTTCTCGAGCTCTCCAGACAACCGGACAAAGAAACGAGCCGTACAGTAAGTAGCACACGGAAGCATGGAAGCTTCTGACCCCCCACTATAACGGGTTGCCTCTTCGCAAGTCTAGAGATGCAAGACACGGATGGAGCTGTTTAGCTTCGCAGCTTCACAGGCAGACGGGTCCAGACCACGTCTAAAGGGTGGACATCTTGATACATGCAAGCTACCTGCAATGGCATGGCATGATCAACGGGATTCCCGAATTCAGACATCCATCGAGACGAGGACGGGTAACCCATCGCTGGGTTCGACGGCGAAGGCGTGAGACCAGTGGACTGACGTCAAGATGTAAGCCTGGGTAAACATGAAGGGTCGGCAGCGGCGCCGTCTAGCTCGGTCTCTGGAACACGGAGCGGAAAGGAGAGTACTTGGCCAAGGCAAGAAATCAACACTGCTGCTCGCAGCCACACACCAATGTCTGTTCCGGATTCCCATTTCGATATGTTCAGCCACTCACACGAGCGATGACCGAATGCGGAAGCACATTGCTGTCAGTATGTGAATGCGATATGTACCGGTATCTCACTTGGGGAGACAATAGCAGCAGTGGCGAGCCATAGCGACGCGCTGAATGAGAAAGAGGAAAGGGGGTGGGGGGATTCGGGAAAGAAGCATTTGCTGGCCAGAGAACCAGCCCGACGATATCACGCCTCATCCCGAACGACATCATGATAGTCAGTGGCTTGACTACATGTCGACCAGAAGATGAAGTCTTCGTTCATCACAAAACTCCTCGGAGATTCCAGTTTCACTGACAGCGAAGTTTTGCCGACCCCGTTTGCCTGACCCAGCATGGTCTGGACTGCTAATTTCCATCCTTCCCAGCCCCAACTATACGCAGACACCAACCATCAGGTCATTCAGCTGTTATACACCACAGCGTAGGCAAGTTGACATGGTGGTACTGTGCATTTCGTGCATGAAGCTATGAGAAAAATCATGCCGAACCCGCAACTTTTCCACGTTCCTCAGGCCAGCCCCTGAATTTCATTACTACGCGATTACTCCCTTGAGACAGGGGATGTTGTGGGGGTAGCTCTGTGTGAGCTGGTGGGTGCGAATGTGAGGCAGCTTGCCCATGAAAACTGGACGGTTCAGACAATTGGATTCGCGCTTTTTAGAGGACGCCGGTACGAGACACGACGTCAAATGTCACTTGGAAGCGGCAACGCACGTTGCGAGATGATGCGGTAGTACAATCCCACTTGTACCGGGTAGCTGGTGTAGGTAATGTGGAATTGAAGTTTGCGTCCCCGAACCATTTCAATACGCGCCAAAGTACTACTATCTCAGCAACGCCCGTCACATCATCCGATCATCCACGAGTGTCAACTATTATTTGCAAACAACTCCAACTTCCAAGATTTCCTTTACTTCATCCGCCCAAAACTTTCATATCCTCCCTTTGAGTACGACCCTCTCCAATGACCAACCGATACCCCGAAGTCTTCCTGTTGTTTCTTCAGCTTTCTGAAGTACCACAGATACTCAATATCCGCTATACTCCCCCGGCGGTTCTTTGATGGCTCCTTTCTGCTCTTGTGAGCTCCAGCCGGCGGCCATTGTATCACTAACGCTTACTCCCGACGCCACTTCAGTGAATCTTCCTGACCCCACCTCAAAACACCCAGACTTGTCCCGATTATACATATGGCGCACTCTCTATCTTTTGAAAACTCATAAATATTGCCCGTCCCCCAAAAAAAGAAAGGGGGAGACCGATGACCAAAAAGATATAGGCGTCTCCCTCTCTATAGAGTGATGAATGGGTTTAGCTGTGTGGTGTTTCCCAAGCAAACCAGCCAACCACCCAAAAAAAGAAAAAAAAAATCAAAGAAAAAATAAGTTAAATTATAATTTCATGTAAAACCAGAAGACAGGAAGAATCAGCCTTTTGGCAAGCGGCATAACCTGATAGGCCCCAATTCCATATATTACCCTCAGGCCCTCTTGTCTCTAACTGGAACCGGTTCTATGGTCTCTAAGGAGCAAGAAGAACTGGAAAGTCGGCCGGTCTGTTCGTCATATGCAGACGGAAAACCCGGTCTCGAGGTCGCGCGGAAGCTTTTGGTATATATGTACGTGCAAACGAAGAGGATGCTGGGAAGAGGACCCTTCACACCACCCTCGAAATGAGCTAGGCACAACTCACGGGCGTATCGTAAGAGCGAGGCGATAGGTTGCGCTGCGCAGCTTCGGGAAGACCATGGTGAAGAATGAACTACAGGATTAATGGAACATGGAGGCGGTTTCAATCACCTCGTCTTTGGTCGTCATTGTGGACTAGAGGTATGTAGGTAAGTGGGTTTGCTGGGTATTAATCTTCAGTTCGTCCTAGTTTGTCCAGGTGATGATACACAGCTCAGACCTTGATCAGTATGTATATAGAATATTGTCATTTGCCCGTCGATTGCTTCTCATGGCAATGGCAACAAGGTTAGTCTGGGCACGTAAGGTAGGGTGAATATCGAAGTTCCCGTCCCGTATCACCAACTGAGTTAGCCATATACTGCCATGTAGCGAATCAGCTAAGGATGATCGTCACTTTTATCAGGGTCGTTGGTGTGCATAAGTCACGATAAGCCCTATCTATCAGCAGAGAGGGGCAACCGTTGCATGGTATAAGTCAATGGAGTGACAAAGAATGCTACCTGCAGGGCTACTTTGTACCAATCACGACGTCGCCGATGACGGACAATGTTGTTGAAGATTACGGCAGCACCAACCAGACGGGTGGTCTATGAGAATTGTATGGGATTGTTGATGAGAGATACTGGCGATGTTTATCCAAACCAGATGCAAACACATTAACGATGAAGATGGGAATTTGAAGAGAGGTCTTGTAGTGACTTTCTGTTGGCGATGAGCATGAAAAAGACCACTTGCGTTAGTTTCCACCCTAGCACTGGCTGGGCAGCTATAGTATCATCCTCTGGAAATCAAGGCAGTTAGCGTAAGGTGGTCGACCATGTCAGCAGGCCAAATGCCTTCATCAATAACCGCCAATAACGCCAGCAACTTCCATCATAATCCGTGTTCAAATTATCTCTAAACAATGAATATAAACAAACCTTGCATCACACAAATTTCGCCAATTGTTCAAAATTCCATAAACCCCACCAACTATTCAACTTGGAGGTTTTATATCGAACAGAGTCCCAAAAGAACGACCTACCCGGAGCTCAACAGCCGACAAGAGGTCTCCGCTCCGTCTCCGTACCCCGCATGCGGAGTTGCTACCGCCCGCGGTCGGCCCTGGTCCCGTTCGGCCCACAGTATGCGGAGTTGGTCCCTGTGGAGTGGCATTTGCGGGGCGGGGGGACTTTATCTTTTCTGCAACTTGTAACCAAGACTGCTGATCCCTATGGAGCACCTCGAAAGTCGAAATCCCAAAGCTGAATTGAAACATTGGAAGTCACAGTCAAATTGAAGTTCCGTACTCTTTCACTTTCGCCATGGTGTTATCCTGGACTTGGACCTCAACACCAGGCTCTTCAACAACAAGCAACGAGGAGTGAAGGAGAGCCATGCAAGTACGAGCTCTATCGCATCGCATATTCTTTATCTGATCTTGACCCGATATAGTGTATCACATTTATCGGCGGTACTGCGCGTGTCGCGGGCATCCGTTCGTATCGCACTACGACATCGGGTTAGCTCCAGCTAGGGTCTATCGCTGCATGTAACGATAACATGGCCGAAACGGGCAGGCAACAGCCACCCCGCGATCGCTCTCTGATAGCGTTTGCTTGATATCAGCACCTCTGGACAGCGCTTCCAGGAGGGTGTGTTTCTGCTTACAAGTCGTTCTTATAAACCCCAACTTCCATCTCACGGTACACTACACGTTGACGCGGGAGTAGGTACGGTCCGGGCACTACGTATCAATGGTGCTGACTGTTGGCAGGCTCGCTTATTGCTTCAGTGGATTTTAAGAGAGCGGCTTAAGCCAATGGATGGCGCGATCCATGGCATGGGTGGTGTAAGTTGTAGTGCACTAACTATATTCCACTGTAGCTCCTTTATTGGTTGTTAAGGTTATCGCAACTCGCTCTCGGTGTCAATGGTGAACCCCCCTCGACCTTTGTGTCACCGTCTCATTCTAGATCCCTTATACATCGCAAACGGCAACACTTGCTTGCTTTGGTTGGCAATGAGATCGTGAAAGCAAGATCCGGTATCTCCTTTGCGTTGAAACACGCGAGATCGGGGTTGTCCCAGCTGAGTGGATGGTGACCGTCTAAGTGCCGCGACTGCGAGTGCAGATCGCCAGTGATAAGGAGCGTTTTTGGGACTTACACCACGGATCAACGTTTCCTTGATAAGAAAAAGAGTTACAGTAAGCAGTACGACCCTCCCCCATTCACGGACATGTTTTCCGACACATTATGTATGTATGTCGTGTGTCCATGGAAACTTTGTTTTGGGGAGCTGTCCCATCAGTCTTCAACCTCTCTTCACTTTCCCTGTTCCAAGTGCCGTGCTTTGCCCTTTGGGAAACGCAACTCTGGGAGTTCAACAACCGGACAAGGCCCTGTTGACTGACCTCATCTTTCTTTTCCCACACTGACAATCATCACATAATATCTTCCTCTGTTCAATCTTCTCCTCCGCTGGGCGTGGACACTGTATACGCAACAAAACACATTCTCGCCTTATACCGAAACACGACGACCACTACTACAACAACGGCCAGCAGCATCGGATACGGACGGGTGATATCCCCGAAAAACCAACTTCCAAAATGTCGCTCTCCCAAAAAGGGAGCGCCACCATTCTCGACGACCATGAAACCGCTATCCCCTCCAAAGACGACGGCGGCGACTTCCGCGCCATCGACCCTCACTCGGGCGTCAAGCGCGGTCTCAAGACTCGACACCTATCCATGATGGCCCTGGCCGGCATCATCGGGCCCGGTCTTCTCGTCGGATCCGGCGGTGCTCTACATTCCGGCGGCCCTGCGTCGCTGCTTATTGGCTTTGGAGTCATTGGCCTCATTGCCTTTTCCATCATGCAGAGTCTGGGCGAGCTGACGACGCTGTACCCCAGTGGAGGCGCGTTTACGGATCTTGGGGACAGGTTTATTGATAAGGCCTTTGGTGTGGCGGTCGGGTGGAATTATCTTATTAGTTAGTTCTTGTTGACCCTGTGCGAGTTGTTGACTTTCGCTGACTTCTGTGTGGTTTAGTTTGGGTTTGTGTCCTGGCGAACGAGTATAATGTGATTTCAAGCGTCATGGTGGATTGGAGCGATAAGGTCCCGCTTTGGGGGTACTTTTTGATATTTTGGGTCAGTTTTATATCTCTGTCAAGCAGGCGTATCGTGAGGAGACCGAGTTTAGGGTGGTTGCTAACATGGCAGACAGTTCGCATTTTTGGGCTTTCAACTCCTCGGTGTCGAGACATTCGGTGAAGCCGAGTTCTGGCTGGCGCTTATTAAGCTTATGGGACTGGTGGCCTACTTCATCTTTAGCATTATGTTAGTTTTCGACGCTCCAACATGTCTACGGACTTGTACTGACCCCAGAATAGTTACGTCTCCGGAGGCGTCAAAGGCGCAGACGCCATCGGCTTCAAGTACTGGCACGACCCCGGCCCGTTCGCCGATGGCTTCCGCGGCGTCGCCTCCGTCTTCGTCTTTTGCTCCACCTTCTACGCAGGTGTCGAATCCGTCGCCGTAGCCGCTACCGAGACCAAAAACCCGGGTGTCGCCGTCCCGCATTCCATCCGCCAAGTCTTCATCCGCATCGTCGTCGTCTACATGGGCTGCGCCTTCTTCTTCGGGTTGACCTGCCCGTCGAACGCCCCCGATCTCTCCGGCGGGGCCAGCCATGCCCTCAAGTCGCCCATGACCATCGCTCTCCATAACGCAGGCTGGGCAAACGGCACCCACCTGATCAACGCCTTCATCTTCGTCACCTGCTTGAGCGCCGTCAACAGCTCGATTTACATTGGCAGCCGCACCCTCTTGTACATGGCGCAGGACGGAAAAGCGCCCAGGTTCCTCGGCTGGACGGATCGTCGTGGCGTTCCTGTTTACGCCATCATCTTCACCAATGCGTGCGGAGCCCTCTCGATGATGAACGTCAGCACGGGCGCAAGCAAGGCGTACGGGTACATCATCAACCTAAGTGGTGTCTCGACCTTTTTGGTCTGGGGCGCCATCAGTCTGATTCACATCCGCTTCCGCGCCGCGTGGAAGGCACAGGGGCACAGCCCGGAGGAGCTGCCGTATAAGTCCTTGTGGTACCCGTGGAATGCCTACTTTGGCCTGATTTCCAATGTCTTTTTGGCTTTTGTGCAGGGCTGGTCGACGTTGGCTCCGTTTGACGCGGGCAATTTCGTGGATGCCTACATCCTGTTGCCGTTGTTTCCTGTGATTTACTTTGTGTACAAGTTCACGTTTAAGACGCGGTTGTGGCGGCCGCATGAGGTTGATCTTCAGGCCGGTAGGCGGCGGGATCTTGATGAGGCCAAGGAGGTGGAGAGGGGAGCGGATGGGAGGCCATTGCCATGGTGGAGGAAGATCTTTTCCAGTCTATAACTGCCTGTTGTTCATGTAATATCAGCAATGCCAAGTGTGAGAGGAGAATAGCACTCTCCACGAATGATGACAGTACTGTGATTCCTATTCGCGTTCTTCCATTTTTCAAAGAAATCTGGCTGTGCTTCTGGATGTGAGTTGCACCGCGAATGTTCCTCCTATGTACCTAGATAAATGATAAGGAACTGGAGGTACAAGAATTCACCAGGTCCCGAGAAGGTCTGATTGAATATACTGGGGCCGCGGTATCGTGCATCGCTTCATGGTGCTACTTGCTCCTGGAACAAGTTAATTCTAGTCGCAGGTTTGACGAGTGCTGGAACAACAGCTCTTGGCTTCAGGAATGGAGGGCGCGACGTTTAATTAAGTCCTCAGCCAATGCAATGTTCGAATTGTCGGTGCTAGTGTTTGAATTTGCGTACTTCTGTTTTTCATTTCCCCATGGCATAAATATCTGAACATTAGCATATTTCCTTCCAATATCGAGTGCTTTTTCTGGTTTGCCGTATTCCTAGCACCACTCCCGTCTTTTGTCTCTGCTTCGACATGTATTCTATGTGAGCTGGCTTCATTAAGCCACTCACAATAGTAGGGATATCCTTGTGGATACTCTCGTTAAGATCTCGGAACTCGGATTGAGGAGAGCAATCCGCTGATCCGGAATGCATTGTTAAGACTTCTTCCACAGTCGAGAACAGAGAAGACGCCAGCTCTACAACAGTAACCTTGGTGTCAGTGGTAGATCTGGGAGGTATTCCCCCTATAGTTTGTGTCATCCCGCGATAGATACAGCCTATGACCATGGCATCACAGACTCTTCTGGGTATCTCGTTATAACTACCGCCAAAAGTACAGAACGGTTTTTCCTTCATTCGAGCTTCCAGTGTGTTGTGAACTGGCGCAATCAACTGTTTAAGTAAAGCCGTACGTATCTCGGAAATAGTCTCTGCCCAAAAGTTAGTTGGGATTTATTGTTCGTTGTATAATAGCAGCCCACACCAACTTACCCAATGCATCATGCGGACCGAGATGAATCTCATCTTCGAGGACAATATTTTCACCATATACTAAGCGGCCCTCTGAGTCGATTCGAGCCTGTAAGGAGATCTGTTCAAGTCTCAAAGCGAAGAGGTGTTCGTCGCCTAATTCCCATGCGATGTACAAGGACTCAACCACTTTTGCCGCTGGAGGGTTGAGTTCGCTAGCAACTTGTAGCCACTGGGAACACCACGGCCTCGCAATACTGGTAATATCGTATTTGTGAGCCAAGATCAAGATACTGTGGATCCTGGAGACAGTTGGATGAGGCGGGACAGGCTCGAATTTGGCGTGTATGATGGAAAGTAAGATGTGTAATGGGTCGGCAGGGTCATCGGGAAACTCGACAAGCCATGCGGATCCGTCCGTAGGTCTGGCTTCCTTCCACGGGCCAAACAGCATCTGTTTCCAAACCGGCGACTGTCGACGAAGGGTATTGGAGCAGACGCGAAATCTGTAGCGGTCGCAAGGATTTGCGGTTGCATCTATTCGGAGATCACCATCAGGGTCAATGTCGACCAATTTCATTACTGATGGCGCCGTCTCAGTGTTGGAATTGGAGCTTTTCAATCCTGCAGCCATCTTTTTGCATAGGTACCGATTGTATGGTGGGATCTGAGAAGTTGACTGGCTCGGTCACTGCCAGCTGATGCCTGGGGTGAAGCACTGGATGTGGTCGAATCGTTGAAAGTGGTGATTATACCACGACTTATTGACAAAGCGTCTCAAAAAAAATAAAAAATAAAGAGAGAGAGAAAGAGAAAGGGAAGGGAAGGGTAAGGACGTGCACCTCTATTGAAATGCTGAAATACGGAGATGTGAAGGGCAGTGCCCTGTACAATCTAACCCTGGTATGTTTATTAGTTTGGTACAAAAAAACGCCCATCTCCACTTGAGAGCCCCGGAAAGTGAGGAAGTATTCGATTTTCAAATAGATAGGCACTGAAAGGGGACTCTTTCTTTTATATTTTTCAAGCTTGAAGGCCTTCAAGGAGACGGATGGAGGCATAAACAGAGGCTTTTGTGGCGTATTACATCCTGGTCATTGTTGGTCGCTCCAAACGAAAACTCTAAGGAAGCCAATAAGAGCTCTATATCTCCCCTGTTCAACCTATGGCCGAAGAACCAAACTAACAAACATACCAGTCTTATATTGTACACGTGAATGCAACCATGATGCAAGAGGCCCAGTAAGTACTATGTACCTCAAGCTCTCTGGGCAACAACGTATTCTCTAAAAACAACGCAATTTGCCGATCACACCAACACATATACCTCTCTTCTTTGTGTAGACAGACTCGGATTACGACCTCGAACGTGCGCAACAACCAACCCCCCATCCAGCACCATCTCTAGACGTTTCATTTGGCATAAGCCCTACGATAACCAGGCAACTCGACCATATTCCAATAACAATAGCTTCAAGCGCAACCGTACGTGGCCTGTTTGCAGCCATCTATTCCCTCTCAGAAGCGAGCGGCAAGAACGATCCGGGCAGTGGCCATGGTTGGATTGCCTGGCGAGCCGAGCACTTCTGCTACGACGACCTCGGACGCCCAATCACCGACGCTCGAAAACATGGATACTGCAAATGATGCAAGCATGCTGTCGTGTGATGAGATTGTCGAGATCGATCCGGATGGAGATCTACTGCTTTATACGAAACCAGACCCAGGACTTGGAGGGCGTTTTAGATTCCGTGTGTGTTCAGCGGCGCTCCGTCGTCACTCGCCAGTCTGGAAAGCGATGTTGTTCGGACCCTGGAAGGAATCAAAGCCGGCAGACGACAGCGAATGGGCGGTTGAGTTTCCCGAGGATCTCGCCTACGAATTCCAGATTGTGCTCAACATCATACATGGCTTGGTCGATCGAGTGCCGTCGTCTCTTGATATTGATACTTTCTTCAAACTTCTCATCCTCGTCAACAAATACGACATAGCTCATATCATGAAGCCTTGGTGTACAACATGGGAAACACCAGCCCTGAGCAGCCTTGTGGGACATGATGTACTCAAAGGCTTATATATCGCAAGGGAGCTGGGGTACAAAGATCTTTTTATCTTCAGACTAGCACAGATTGCAGTTAATACCTGGGTTGAAGGAGATTTTTTGGTTTTCAGGGATTCCTCTATCATGGATCTTGATGGAATCATCCTCCAAGATGAGGATGATCTTGGTCCGACGGATGTTTTAGGTCCGTGCTCATTCACAGAGCCCCCCCCCCCCCCCCCCCCTCTCCCCTCATTGAAGTCGTTGCTGACCTGTCGATAGATGTGATCTGTAACATTCGGAAAGCGGTGATTGAAAAGATGGTTGCGCCTCTCAATGAAGATCTGGAAGCTCTAGTGAATTCGACTCCCCGTTGCACCTTTAAGAGTGATCATCACACAAGAACCAGACGCCTATGTGATGCTGCAGTTCTCGGAAGTATTCATCGCGGTATGATACAACGAAGAGGTAGCATACTTCCGAGGGAAAGCTCCTGTATCACCGAGAGCGTTGTACATCTGGCGTCTGAGTTGTTCCCTATGATGGATGAAATCCAGACCATTGAGTTCCATTCTACAAAGTGCTCCTTGAAAGACAAGTACAGGAAGCACAACAGCACGCTACATGACAGCGTCATCACAATTGCCCGAGAGTTTCTGACGCCTAGACATCTGGTATACATGGCATTACAAAGATCAAAGACTGGGTTGGAAAATCAGTGCGCACATAGTACGGAACGATACTGGTAGTTGCTTTGAAGCCTCTACCGGAAACGGAGGAATGCCTCATCTAGCTTTTCAACTTTCTTGGAAGGATGAGGGTACGAGACGGAAAGAAATGAGGCATGGGCTTCAGGATGCAGACGTTTGATCTTAGAGGGAACACAAGCAAGAATGTACGGGTGATTACTGAATGAGGTGAACTTTGGCAGTGAGAAAGTGCCTGATTAGGGCATGTCGAAAGACGACAAACTGCGTGCCTGAGTGATGCAACATCTATGTTGAATTTCCACATCTGTAAAAAGTAGAAAGGAGAGTATGAAGGCTAGATATCTGGCTATCACCAATACCGACGGGTACTAGCTTGAGTCTGCTTTCTTTCTGCTTGTGAAGACAACTCGATGCCTGTCTTGTTCCTCTGCTTTTCCATGTACTTTCTGTGGGCCGGCTTAATGTGCTCCGCCACAAGACCAGGAAGTCTTTCATGTATCTCCTGGTCAAGAGCCTCATACTTTCTGTGCAAGGAACACTGCGTATGATTTGGCAGAACCTCGATCAACTTTATGTTCGAGAATACGGAAGCTGCCACTTGGACAACGCTGTCCGTCTTGATGGTACCTCTGTTCGTGAGGCGCTGGTCCATGTGGATCAGAAGACCGCCGAAGATGGCCGCGTCACAAAGGGTTGCGGTGCCCCTCACCCTCCCACTGTTATGATTTTGAGAAGCAGAACAGGCCGTTCCAAGAGGTGGATATCGCCGAGATACCACGTCATCATCAACAGCCATGGCAATCATGGAGAGCACTTTCTTTCGAATTGATAGTAGGACATCTATGGAAAATCTGGCATTAGTCAATCGGAACTAGCTTCGGTCTGGAATGTGAATATCAAACGTACCAATGATATCATGTGGACCGAGGTAATCTTGATGCTCAAGAACAATCCACTCTTCATCTTCAGCCTCAGAACCTCCTGCCAGACCGGGCTTTCTGAAAAGGTTCACTGCCTGAATGGACGGGAAGCTGTCTTGGGGGCTGGTATTGACGGAGATCTCCTCAATCCTCAGAGCGAAGAGGTTCTCATCTCCTAGCTCCCATGCAACAAACAAGGACTTAAGAGTGTCTTCCGAAAATAGGTCCCCGTGGGCGACCACTGCCCACTGTACACACCATGGTCTCAAAGTGCCAGTTAAATCGTACTTGTTGGTGAAAATGAGAAGGTTGTAGAGCTCATCGAGATCGAGAGAGTGAGGAATCTGGCTGAACCGTCCGTGTATGATGTTCAGGACAATCTGCAGTGGTTTGACAGAGTCTCCAGGAAGCTTTACAATCCACTCCTCGGACTTGACATTGGCTGGCTTTGATTCCGTCCAAGGACCAAAAAGCATCTGTTTCCAGACTGGCGAATGACGGCGGAGCGTGGAGGAGCAGACACGTAGCCGCTGTGGCTGGGACGATTCAGAGTCTTCGTCTCCCCCTACGTCCAACAAGAGATCTCCCTCGGGGTCGATGTTGACCACGTTGCGATGTGGCAAGGCCGAGTTTTCCATTTCGTTCGTGACTCTTGAATCCGACCCATCTGTAGCAGTTGCCATCGCAGGGGAGCTGTCGCCAAATAAATCCCCTGTGGGTATTGGTAGAGTGGTAGTTGATTCCAATTGAGTTGCAGCAGAGCTGCCGCTGGAGAAGACAGCGATGGCTCCTCCGGTTGTTAAAGCTTCTAGACAAACTTTGTGAGCTGCCAAACAGACTGTTACCAGCGGTGGATGTAGTGTCGAAAAGACCACTGGTCGTGGTCAAAGCTGTCAACTCTGGAGGGGGGCTATGGACCCTAACAACCCACTGCATGTAGAAGTGTGACCTGCAGCAGCTGACACAGAACCAAACAAGCCACTTCCTGTCGCAGAGGCTCCAGCCCCAAATAAGTTGCCACGTGAAGCTGAAGCCGCGGCCGGTGCTACTGTTGATGAAACGGGCGAGGGCCCGAACAAACTACCGCCCGTAGACGCAGTGGACGGAAGAGGTCCAGAAGCGCCAAAGAGAGATGGAGGAAATTGAGCGGTTCCCGGTCCCCTAGCAGCTGCGAAACCTACAGCTGCGGAGGCATTTAATGTTGTGCTCGGCTGTGGCTAGTTCGCGTTACTATTTGGGTTTGGGGTAGGTCCGCCTGAGCCGAACAGCGAAGGGCCAGTATTCGCGCCATATGCACTGCCATTTTGACCGTCAGTTCCAGTCCCGGACATTGTGGCTCCCTCTGTTTGTCGTCGTCTTCGTCGTCACGTTGAAGGTTGTTTGATTTTGCCGACTCAAGAAAAGGCTGCGCACAAGATGGAAATGCACGCAACCGTACTCAGCATATGATGTCTGGATGTAGGCAATGAGTGTGGGGGATGGGTGCGTTGCCGAGTCGAAAGTTCGTTGGATGCAAGATTCGAGAGATGTACTGGGAAAGTGGAAGTAGACCAGTCACCTGTTTGAAATATGGAAAGGAAAATTTAGGTAGCCTTACCGTACAATATCAGACCGATTGTGGGGTGGGGCCTCTCAGCCAGCAACATACAGCCAACTTCACCACCTCTTTAAACACCATATGACGCGTGGAAAAGGAGACCTAATCTACTCACTAGAGAGTATATCATTTGAAAACTGCACCTCCGTATCATTTTGGCTCTCTCCATAATAATATATCGCCAGACTTGCGAGTGTCCAGCCCGACCTCTTTTATGATTGGAGTGCCCATGCTTCTCCGCATCGCGCTGTAAAATACGGTATCGTAAGATACGGCGATACAATACCTGATGTTCCAGAAAGAACACAGGCGTTACCTCCACTACGGTCCAGAATATTCTGCGTTATGCATCTATTTGATCAGGATGGTCTATTGATAAATCACAGTTTCCAAATCTTACACTGAATTTCCCTCGAATTGGCTCCTTTCAACTTGACAGCTTCTTTACAGGATCCAAAGCTGCCTTGGCGTAAGTGCCCTTGTCACCACCACCTTCAATGTCAACAAACTTCCTCAGCCGTTCGTCCCATGTGAAAGAAGCGTATGGCAGTGTCTCTGAACTCAGCAGTAGGTTCAACATCAAGACAACCTGAATTGTGAATCAGTCCCTCAGATTGTTCGTATGGAACCTGCAATCCTTCTGGTGAGCATCGTTGCTAGTCCTCAAAATCTCCTTGAAGTCTGCCATGCATTCCCAGCAGAATTCGTATGAGCACTTGGCGCCTATTGATTGGGATACGGGCTTTGTTTTAGCACAGCGCTTAAATTGATGATTATGGATGCTTGATACAAAGAAACGTACTGTGTCGATACGGGAAAATAGAGGGAAAGGAACCCGAAGTGAACTTCCAGACTTCGTGTTTGAGAATAAAAAAGGAACAGAAACGGGATATTCGTGGTGGGAGCGCTATTAGCGTCAACGGGTTGAATGCCCATGCCAAGCATTGCGACAGTGCCAGCAAAACTCGTAGCGGCATAGGGAGCCTAGAAGAGCATCAGAAAATCCATTCAAGGACATGTATAGTATGATGTGTTAGAGGGTGCGAGGGACAAGGAAGAGCAACTTGTCTTTCCGGTACATGTTAAGCTGCGGACACATGTGGAAAGTATCTGACAGGGAATAGAGTAGATGAAAAGTCTCAGACACAAACGTGTGAAAATGTGTTGAAGTCGCTGAGGAGATTGTCTTACATATCATGTGCGCGCTGTCAACCACGGACGTTAGCCACCTGCTCTGTAACCATGGAAGGCAAAACACCATAAAAGGTAAACCTACCATCCGCCATCTTTCTCAATGTGTCGCCCACATGAAGGGCAAGGCTTCGACGTAAGCGCAATTATCTTCTCGCTTTGCTTATTCTCCTCCTGTTGTCGAAGATGTTGTTTGTAGGCCGGGCTGTCCGGGTTCTTCTTCACAATGTCGAACTCGTCGCAAGTCATGCCCTTGTGCCATGGCACTTTGTGGACGTAGCATGACAAGTGTCCATTGGGACACTTCATGATGGGCTGGCTGTACCCGCCTTCGTGAATGTGGCCGCTGCCACAACTTGGCTCTGTACACTGTTGGAGTACGGAACAGTCAGCTATGGATTGCCGCCGAGCTAGGGAAATCTAGTTCCAATGGGAGCCATTAACTTACCCACCTGAAGCCTTCTTGGCTTTCCAGCATGTGCTTAGTTAGAAAATCTTCATACTTCGCCCGTGTCTCCGGGCTGGCGTAACGTAGAACAACATCCGCATCGAGACGGTTGTTACACTCCGGACAATTGATGTCCTGCCAGTACTTGTTTTTGAGGTCTGCCGTGATGCTCAAACGAACACATTCGACGCATACACGCATCGCGTGTTGACAATCAGTAGAGAGTTTCGACAATGGAAAATGAAGAAAGTCTTTCGTCTCTGTGCAGACGACACACTCTATCTGTACGGTCTCGGTTTGGACGGCCTCAGTCTTGTTGGAGGCTAGCTTTTCGGTTTGCGATCGTGTCTCGACGGTAAGAGTAGCCATGGTCAATCTCAATGAGGGAAAGAAGTTTGGGCCAGCTGACGCCTTGGTAAATGTAATCGTCTCTCCGCAGGCTTCTGGATGACAAAGCTGAGGTGAGGGGCCGAAGAGGGCACACGTCGTTTTGCAGAAACATCTTTTAAGCACGAGCGGGCAGGGAAGCAGAGGACTTGGATGGTGACGCTATCATCAAGTACCTCATCCAATGGGATATGGCATAGCACGCAGTATGCAAGTGCCAACGAGCAGTACAAACAAGCAGACAGCCGGAGGACTCGCTCAACCCTGCGTAGAAAACCTGCTGAATGTTTCAATCTGCAGCTGGTCTTGATGGACGTGCAAATACGACGACGGAGAAGGCACAGGATTTTAAAGTGGCAACAAAATATGACAACCGGGAGTCAAGCCAGCCTACTATGCTGGAAGGGAGTGCCAGTCAATGGACGCCAAGGTACGGAGTTTCAACGTTAACTTTGTGCCTTGATGGGAACGTATCAAGTACTTGAAGGCAGTAGAAAACTTGACTCGGCTTGATCCAACTGATGTGATAAGGTGTGGATAAGTAAGATGTATTGGAAGTGTGCTATAAAGCGTGCTGGTGTGCAGAAGACAGACAGAGGAGCATTTACAAGTAAGATGAAGCTGTACGGCATTCGTATCGGCAGATAGGCCAATCCAGTCACCTCGAACATCTGTGGACGGCAATGATTGCTATCCAGGAACATCAGACAGTCTTACCAAGGGGTGTGTGGGTATGTAGAAACTGGTCGCAAACGAACACGGCATCTTACCGTGAGGGGCTTTAGATGCTATGGATGCTTGCATCCCGTGCCATCGTTCGTTTGCCAAAAGCCTCCCGTCACCCGACTCGAGGGGAAGCACCTTAACTCTGTATTTCTCCTATCCCCCGCTACGGGCCTCAGGCAGATGCCTTGCGCGAGACGGGCTTTGATCAGATCATGAGCTGATAACCGTGGTTTTGGAGACTGGTCTCGCTTGGAGTGACAACAACCAGCCTCTCGCAGAGAGTGCGCAAATAATTCAAGGGACGAAATATCATCATATGGGTTCCATGGTGACAGTGTTCATACTCAACTTATTTGGAGCTGCTCGATCCACGGCTAAATTTTAATCAGACCTTTGGTATTGCAAATGTGGATTGATATACTTGAAAGAAAAGGCATGTTTCGACGATTGCGGAGGGATGGCTGGGTCATCTCGCAGTTTCGCCTGCGGAAAGAAGATTTCAGGGGAAAGAGGACACAAAGAGAAGGTAGAACATTTTCCAAACTTTCAAGAAATGAAAGGTATTGACAGAAACAAATCAATCCCGCCTCAGATGGGGATGATCGGAGTATCAAATTTGACCCCGTCCGTCTCTTCTAGGTTCTAGCCCGCTCCTTCATCCATCAAATGATTGACGAAGACGAAAACGGAAGCAGCCATCCACTCGAGTGTGCGGGGTGCTGTCCCGTGCTGGAAGGAGCGAGAGACATGCTTCAGGACTTGTAAAATGTTTCGTCCAGCCTTACCCCGAAACCTCGCCGCAGGCTGCTGGAAAAGGATGGAGAGAGAGCTGGAAATGCATTCTACACGAAGGGAGCATGGCATGGGACCGACCCTTTTGTCAAAATACGTGCTTTAGGTATCATAACAGGTCTAAAACTATCGCAAAATACGTATGGAAACATCCATGATTGGATGAAAGAACCCAATATCTCTCTTTTTCCCACACCAACACCAACACTAATAAACAACTCATCAATCCTCCAACAAGCCAGCAGCCAAAGCCTCCAAATCCTGCAAATTATCCGGCTCATGATCCATCTCAATAACCTTCCTGCCGCCCTCCATCTTAGCCTTCTTCCTCCTCGGCCTGCCATCATCGCTGTACTCCGTATCCGAGTCATCCTTCTGGAACCACTTCTTAGCCTTCTTCTTAGGCGGTTCCCTGTCGTCCTCGCTCTCATCACCGCTGTCACCGCCCTTGCCAGCAACAGGCAAACTCCTGAGCAAAGCCAAGGGATCCTCCTCCACATCGCTGTGCGCATCCAGCAGCGCCGGCTGCAGGGGACCCTTCTCCCTCTCGACCTCCTCACCCCTCTCCCTTGCCTTGGCGCGTTCCCTCTTCTCCTTCCTCCGCTGCTTGGCCAGCAGCTTGTCTTCGACATCCTGCTCCTTGACCTTGGTGGCCTCGCTCTCGACGAACTTCTGCCTGAGCTCCTTGGCGTCGCCCTCCTTCTGGAAGTCCTCCTCGTCTTGCAGCTGGTAGAGCGGGTGGGCGTTTCCTTCGTCGTCAAACACAAGCTTCTGGCCCTTCTCCATGTACTTGAGCAGCTTCTTCTTGGACTTGAGCAGCTTCTCGCGACGGTGCGAGTCGATGACCAGCTCGGCGTTCTTGCCCAGCTTGACCACCTTGGCCGTGCCGTCGGGGTTGGTGCCGGACTTGGCGTTGCCGGCGGCGTCGTCGAGGGCGGCATCGTCGTCCAGCACGCGCTTGACTGAGAGGAAGTCGTCTTCCTCGTTGTCTTCTGCCTGATCTTCTCCGAGAAGCTTGCGGTAATGCGTCGACAAGACGTCCTGGTTTTGACGCTCGGCCATCTTGTCGTACTTTGTCCTGACCTCCTTCTTCTTCTTGCGGATCTCGCCGTCCGAGCCTTCGGTGTCGGACCCGCTGGACATGGCGGCGCGCGAGGCATTCTTGAGCTTCTTGACGTCCTCGCCCTTCTGGTACCTGATCTGTGGAGTACCTGGGAGACCCAGGCTGGAAGCAAAACCGTCAAGGTCGAGTTTGTCGAACTTGAACACCTCCTTATCCTTTTGCAGGTAAATCGAGCGGACATACGACACGAATGCCTTCTGTCCGAGGTATTTGAGATCGGGTGACTGGAAACACTGGGACTGTAGTTCGTTCTTGATGCTCTTCTTCTTGTTTTCTTTGACGTTCACTTTCTGGACGGTCACCTTCTTGTGCTCGAGACGCTTAAGGAAACCCTCTTCTTCGCTGGGGTCGAGGAACAAGACGGCGCGGCCCTTGCTCTCGTAACGCGCCGTTCTGCCGACGCGATGGATGTAGGTGTCGGCATCTTCAGGGCAATCGACCTGGATAACCCAGTCGACGGCGGGGAAATCAACACCTCTGGCCACGACATCGGTGGCGAAGAGGCAGGAGTATTTTGCGGACGTGAACCGGTTCGTGATCTCGAGACGTGCTATTTGTTTTTGGCGACCGTGCAAATGTAGTAGTGGGATACCGGGCTGCATCCGCTTAAAACTTTCGTAGACGAATCTGACCTGCTTGCCGGAGGACATAAACACAATAATCTTGCTCTTGAGGTTCGTTCGTAGGAAGCCCCATAGCGTGTCGAGCTTCTCAGCGAGAGGTGTGACGATGTAATGCTGTTGGAGGCCGACGGGGGTCGCCGATGCTGCGGCTTCGTGAACAGAGACGTATTCGGGGTCCTTCAAGCTCAACCGGGCAAGGTCCGAGACACGCTTGCTTTGTGTGGCGCTAAACAGCAGGGTCTGCCTGCTCTTGGGAAGATGCTCAACAAGAGCGTCAACGGCCTGTTGGAAACCCATGTCCATGATGCGGTCGGCCTCATCAAGCACGAGCATCTGGAGGTTGTCGACATCGAAGCCGGCCGTTTGGTCGAGATGCTGCAGCATACGGCCAGGTGTGCAGACGAGGATATTCATGCGCCCAAGACGCTCCGCCTCCTCCTTCAAGCTCTTTCCACCAATGACCAAGCCTGCCGAAAAGCTGTGGTTGCGGCCAATCTTCCTGAGAACTTCAAATATTTGGACGGCCAATTCACGGGTCGGGCTGATAATGAGGGCACCGAGACCGTCGTACTCAGTCCATCGTGCACGGTATAGCTTCTCGAGGACGGGAACAAGGAAGGCGAGGGTCTTGCCGCTACCTGTCCTAGCAGCGCCGAGGATATCTTGCCCTTTGAGCGCGAGAGGGATGGCGGCGCGTTGGACATCGGTTAGGACCTCGAAATGGGATGCGCGCAGTCCAGAGGCGGTAGGTTCGCAAAGGGGAAGGTCCGAGAACTTGTTAATTTCGGTGGATTTGGGGTCCTAGTAGGTCAAGGCACCAGACTTAGACGCGTGTGCGGTTATAGAGGAAGGAAAGGAGTTCACTGGGACTTACAAGTTCGTCGATTCTCTTCTGAAGCGCCTCGAGGTTCTCCAGCTCTCTTTTCCTCTTCAGCGTCTTGTGTTCGGCCTTGTTGGCTTTGGGCCTTTCCTTCTCGGTTTTGCCCTTGCCACCGCGGCCTTTGGGGCCTCCTGGAGCCATTGTGTTTGCGTTGATTGACCGTGCTGGAGATTGGGCGTGGTGGGTTCGACGAATTTCCAAAGGTCGGGTCTGCTAGTCGAGCGAATCCAATTGCCTGCGGGTCGTCGCTGGTGGCCTTTCAGTTCGATGCGATGGGAAAACTTTTGGCGGAGAGCAATTCTGCCAGCTCGACCCACCTCATCCACTGTAAGCGAGGGGATCTGCAGCAGGGATCTCGGACTCGCGGTCAGCTTAGACCAGGGTTAGGGTCTTGCGAGTAGACAAACCATCGAGTTGTTAGCCCCCAGCGACATTATCTCGTTACTATGGTTCATGATGGGTTGGATCGCTGGGCAGTTGTACGGGGTTGAAGTAGAAAATTCACAGTAGGTTTCGCATCCAGCCAAGTCCAAGTTTTAGTGATTTTATTTCAGCGCCCACAACTTCAGCAATTTACATTTCTCACTTAGAACAGCAACATTCAAACATCAACACCGTGCCTGAGCAATGAAAAGAGCCAAACTATCGTGAAAGCATAATGTATTGAACCACGAAAAAATGAGCTTGAAGACGGGTATCGCTCGCTCACATGATTCCTTCGTAGACACCCACAGTGAAACCAACCCACTATACCCACTCATATATATATACGTTTCCCAAAGTTGAAACCGATAAAAAAAAAAAAGACCAAACGCCTTGCCCCATTCCCAATTTCCTT